GACACACACTGTCCCCACTGGACACACACACTGTTCCCCGCCGACACGCACCGTTTCACTAGACACGCACTGTTCCCCACTGAACACACACTGTTCCCCGCTGAACGCACACTGTTCCCCACTGAACACGCACGCGTTTCCCCCGCCGACGCACGCACTGGAACAACACACACTGGACACACACTGTTCCCCACTGAACACACACACTGTTCCACACTGGACGCACGCACGCTGTTTTACTAGACACACACACACTGTCCCCCACTAAGACACACACACTGTTCACCGCCGACACACACACACACTGTTCCCCACTAGACACACACACTGTTCCCCACTAGACACACCTGTTCCCCACCTAGACACACACACTGTTCCCCACCTAGACACACACTGTTCCCCACTAGACAGCCACACACTGTTCCCCCACTAGACACACACGCACTGTTCCCCACTAGACACACACACACTGTCCCCCACTAGACGCACACACAGTGTTACCAAAACTTTTACACTGATACCCCACTGGACGCACACAGTGTCCCTGAACCCACACACTGTTCCCCACTAGACACACACACTGTCCCCACTAGACACACACACTGTTTACTGGAGCCGCACACAGTGTCCCCGCACTGAACACACACACACTGTCCCCCACTAGACACACACACTGTTCCCCACTAGACACACACAGTCCCCCCACCTGAACCACACACACACACACTGTCCCCCCACTGGACACACACCTGTTCCCCCACTAGACACACACACTGTCCCCCACTAGACACACTGTCCCCACCTAGACACACACTGTTCCCCACTAGACACACCTGTTTCCCCACTAGACACACTGTCCCCACTAGACACACACTGTCCCCCACTAGACACACACACACATACACACACTGTTCCCCACTAGACACACACACTGTTCTATAGACACACACACTGTCCCCCCACTAGACACACACACTGTCCCCACTAGACACACACACCTTTCGTTTCCCCGCTGGACACACGCTGTCCACCCCGCTGGACGCACGCACTGTCCACTGGACGCACGCACATGCACTGTTCTACGCCGGTACACACACTGTTTCACCACTGAACACACGCACCAGTCCCCGCTAGACACACACTGTCCACCTAGACACACACTGCTCCCCCCACTGGACACACACACTGTTCCCCATAGACGCACACACTGTTTCCCCGCCGGCCACACACACTGTTTCCCCACTAGACACACACACTGTTTACTGAACGCACACTGTTACACTGAACGCACACTGTTCCCCACTGAACACGCACACTGTTCCACACACTGAACGCACGCACAGTCCCCACTAGACACTGTCCCCACCAGACACGCACGCTGAACCACTGACTGCACGCTGTTTCCCCACTGTGGCTACGCACTGATGCCCCCACTGGACGCACGCACATACACAGTCCCCACTGAACTACACACACTGTGCCCCCACTAGACACACGGTGTCCCCACTGAACCACATACACATACGCACACTGTCCCCCCACTAGACACACACACACATACACAGTGTCCCCACTGAACTACACACACACTGTCCCCACTAGACACACACTGTCCCCACCCTAGACACACCTGTTCCCCATACATTTTACACACTGTTCCCCACCTGGACACACTGTTTCCCCCACTGAGACAAACACTGTTTTCCCCCCACTAGACACACCGCATTTCCCCCACTAGACACGCCATTTCCACCCACTGAACGCACACACTGTTCCCCACTGGACACGCACTGTTTCACTGAACACACGCGTTCCCCACTAGACACGCACTGTTCCCCACTAGACACACACTGTTCCCCACTAGACACACTGTCCCCACTGAACACACACTGTTCCCCACTTGACACACACACTGTTCCCCACTAGACACACACACTGTTCCCCACTAGACACACACTGTTGTTCCCCACTAGACACACACACTGTTCCCCCCACTAGACACACACACTGTTCCCCGCCAGGCACACACTGTTCCCCCACTGGACACACGCTGTTCCCCACTGAACACACACACTGTTCCCCACTAGACACACACTGTTCCCCACTGAACACGCACACTGTCCCCACTTCAGACACGCACTGTTCCCCGCCGACGCACACTGTTCCACTAGACACACTGTTCACCACCCCACCTAGACACACACTGTTCTACACTAGACACACGCCGTTACACTAGACACGCACTGTTTTACTAGACACACACTGTTCTACACTGAACGCACGCACTGTTTTACACTAGACACGCACAATGCACTGAACACACACAGTGTCCCCACTAGACACACACACTGTGTGTCCCCACTGAACACACACAGTGTCCCCACTAGACACACACACTGTTTCTACACTGGACACACACACTGTCCCCACTGGACACACACTGTTCCCCACTGGACACACAGTGTCCCCACCTAGACACACGTCACTGGACACGCACGCTGTTCCCCACTAGACACGCACGGTGTCCCCACTGAACACACACTGTCCCCGCACAGACGCACGCACCGTTACACTAGACACGCACTGTCCCCACTGAACACACACACTGATACACTGAACACGCACGCTGTTCCCCGCTGGACGCACGCTGTTTCCCCACTAGACGCACTGATACTGGACGCACTGTCACGCTGGACGCACGCGTACGCACGCTGTTCCCCACTGGACACGCACTGTTCCCCACTGGACGCACGCACTGTCCCCACTGGACGCACGCATACGCTGGACGCACTGTTTCCACACTGGACGCACGCTGTCCACTGGACGCACGCGCATCCCCGCTGGACGCACGCATGCGCGCACTGTTCCCCGGTACGCTGGAACGCTGGACGCACGCTGTCCCCGCTGGACGCACGATGCACACTGGACGCGCCAATACGCTGGACGCACGCCGGAACACGCTGGACGCACGCGGTTACGCTGGACGCACGCTGTCCGCTGGACGCACGCCGATGCCGCTGGACGCGCTGATGCCCGCTGGACGCACGCACGTACGCGCTTGATGCCGCTGGACGCACGCGCATCGTTTCACCCCGCTGGACGTACGCACGCTTTCGTCCCCGCTGGATACGCGCCGATCCCCGCTGGACGCACGCGCGCGTCCCCGCCAGAGCGCACACACTTTCATTTACTTGACACACACACTGTTCACCCCACTCAGACACGCACTGTCCCCCACTGAACACACACACTGTCCCCACTAGACACGCACACTGTTCCCCTTGACACACACACTGGGCTACACCCCAGACACACACTGTCCCCACTAGACGCACGCACGCAATACACTGAACGCACGCACGCTGTCCCCCCACTGGGCCACACACTGTCCCCATAGACGCACTGTCCCGCCGGACACACACACACTGTCCCCCCATAGACACACACTGTTCCCCACTAGACACACACGCTGTCCCCGCCGACGCACGCACTGATACGCCGATACACGCAGTCCCCCCACTGGACACGCTGTTCCCCTGGACGCACGCTGTTTCCACTGGACGCACCGCCGCGCAATGCACTGGATTGCGCACTGTCCCCGCTGGACGCACGCGATACACTGGACGCACGCTGTCCCCGCTGGACGCACACGCGTCCCCACTGGACGCACGCAGTCCCCGCTGGACGCGCTGTCCCCACTGGACGCACGCACTGTCCCCGCTGGACGCACGCTGGACGCACGCACGCTGATGCAGCGGGCGCACGCTCGTTCCCGCTGGACGCACTGGTTACGCGGGCGCACGCTGGTCACGCTGGACGCACGCTGTCCGCTGGACACGCACGCTGATGCCGCTGGACGCACTGTTCGCCGGACGCACGCGCCGTTCCCCGCTGGACACGCAGTCCCCACTGGACACGCACTGTTCCTTGACGCACACTGTTCCCCACTGTGGACGCACACTGTTCCCCACTAGACACACACACACTGTTCCCCACTAGACACACACACATACACTGTCCCCACTAGACCACACACTGTTCCCCACTTGACTTGCACTGTTCCCCATGACACACACACTGTTCCCCACTGAACACACACACTGTTTCCCCACTAGACACACACACACACTGTTCCCCACTAGGCACACTGCACTGTTGTTCCCCCACTGAACGCACACACACACACACTGTCCCCCACTAGACACACACACTGTTCCCCGCCGAGCACACGCACCAGTTCCACTGAACGCACGCACTGTTCCACTGAACGCACGCACGCACGCACTGTTCCCCACTGGGCGCACACACGCACGCACACTGTCCCCACTGGACACGCGCACTCTTCCCCCCGCACCCTGGACACACACACTGTTCCCCCACTAGACACGCACTGTTCCCCACTAGACACACACACACTGTTCCCCCACTAGACACACACACTGTTCCCCTACTACACACACACACTGTCCCCCCACTAGACACACACACACACACACACACACTGTCCCCCCACTAGACACACACACACGTTCAGAGGAGGAACTACAATGCTGAACAACACACCATCACTTCCACTCATCGTAGCTTAATCATGTAGACGATCTTTCAAATCGATGATATAGATTATAGGTCTTGTGGGCCGGAGACTTTGTGTTGCCGATGGAGTCAAAAGATCGGTTATTTGCGAGCGACTATTATTATCAAAGAAGGATTTTTTCTCTATGAGAAGATTTTGAATACTGCACTACCTCTTCAAGACCAAAGACGTCTGGTCCAATTTTGAGGTTTCTTTTCATTGTATTTGACGTAGTAACTTTATCAATACGTATTTCGCGGGTCTATATGAGTACATGATTTTTCTGGTTGCTCTTGTATACTCAGTATACTGTACAGAAAGTGGCAGTCATTTGCCACTCACACTTGGTATGTTTACCTACTCAACTCCAGTATACTTGTAAAAGAATCTTGAAAATTATCCACCATACACTTGAGTTACTCACCTAACGTCTCGGTCGTACATCTAGCAAAAATAAAGTAGACGAAGAGGGTGATTGGCCAAGTCAGCGCGTGCATGCCTCGCAGTACACCAATCAGCGACCAGTTCACAGCCACTGTCACTCAATGACACGTCCCGGCTTGCAGACTCCAACTAGAATGCGGTAGTGGGAGTCCCGTGGGGCGGGAGGCAACCTGAGCGTCGTGAGGCGGGGACGAGTGTGCCAGCATCGCACCCTACCCCACCTTATAAACACGCCACCACGCCTCCGCAGCCCTCCTCCTCCGCGCCGCTACACGCATGTCTTCCTCACCTTCCTCTCACGCATATATTTCTAACGTATGCCTTCTTAACATATCTCTCATACATGTCTTCCAAACATGCTTCTCCTGCATGTATTTCTAACGCATGTCTTCCTCTTTTTTCTTTCACACACACTCTTCCTGCTCGTCTTCATCTCACGAGTGTGTGTGTGTGACATAAAAAGAGGGACGTATAGGGTTATTGAGGTAATGAGTAGGAGGATGTATAAGGAAGAGGTGAAGGAGGTAATGAGGAGGACGGGGATGATGTTCAGCCAGTGGAGGTGTGCGTAAATGAGGCTGAAAATATGATGTTGAGTATGTTTTTGGGGGGATGGGCAAATTTTGCGTTGCAAATCTGTAATATTTGTTGAGTGCATGACGTGCAAGGGAGAACTCAGATGGTTGTTCTTAAGGCTTTACTATGTTAAAGTGGATACACAACAACTCAACAATGTTGGTGATGTTGTCGTCATTATGTAGGATATATTGGCGACAATGTTCCAAAAACAAATGTTGCAAACTTTTCTTTTAATTTTCCAATAATGTTCATAACACATTCCCCAACACAAGTTACCGACAATGTTGCGTTGGTGTGGGTCCATTTTAAAAGGAATATCATAGTACAACACATCAAGTAAGGGTGTGTTGGTGTGTTGGTTGTAGCACTTGAGCACGTTACCCCACTATTATAACATTCTCAAACCTTCCTTTTTTACACCTCAGTGACCCGGAGTTTATGTTGTTCCTGAATCAGTACCGACACACTACTCCCTCATCTTGAACCTAATGCCTTTCTACAAAACTCACTGGGTTATTCCAACCCCAGCTGTAACTGTTACTTTCCTGACTCTCCTCTGCCTACTTGACTTCATTAGGACAATGAGAGAGTGTGGGAGCGTCACCTGGAATGTGTAGCTCAAATTATCCCATATTTCTTTGCAGGCGATAGAGTAAAATATTCAAGATGGTCTTGTGAGTACAGTACCTTGCTTACAGTCAATTCTCCAAATATCCACCAAAGCTTTCTTGATGGTAACCATCCTGTAAGGCGGTGAACCCAGAGATTCAATCAGGTATGGACAAATATGGTTCAAGAACAAAGTGTAATGAAATACAGCAAGATGAAGGGCGAAATTGTTGGCCTTACATGGCAGCACATGAGGGCCTCCGTCAGTAGTAACTGCTATCAAAATAATAGCTGGCTTGTTGGAAGACCATTCTGATGAACATAACCACAAGAAACTGGGATCAAGTCGTATCATTAGCCAAATTATCAATCCCTTTGCAAAACACCATCTAATAAATTCATGAAATATAAGAATAAGTGTGCAAGCTCCAGAAAACGTGGCAGAAGACTTGACTGCAGGGGCCTTTGCATTAGGTGAAAAAGGCATTATATCTTTTAATGATGAAAACTGAACAAAGGAAACACCTTATTCTATGATGCCATACACATACATTTTCCTCTGTCTCAGAGAGAAGAAAAGAGCCAACAACGTAGCTGACAAGCTTGCTTTAGTTCTTGCTGATAGAAAACTGTTTTGAAGAATTGTTATCGTGGGTAAAACGAGAAATGTTAACTTAAAAGATATATTTTTCCGTTAGTTGTTCATCTGTTCCTCACTCATTAGCACACACTAATGACACGCTTCACAAAGCATCAACGAGTACACTTTAGCTGAACTGGGGAAAGAAATCATTGTACAACCTCTCTATCCACATGTTGGACCATCAAGCTGGATCATAGTTAGATGGCTGTCCTACAATTGATTAGGAATCAAGGACAGTAACATTTGGACATTTAAGTGCCAAGTTGCTTTCATTGGTCATGAAACATGTTTTGAGTGAAAGTGTTTGTTCAGTAAGTAGGGCTAAATTATATATACAATCATTGTTTAATATGTTTTATATATCAATGTGTAGTATGAATGTGTTAAATAAATAAATTTAATGTTGTGTAAAAGTTAGGTAAACTAGCATTGTAATTGGTGACCTGGCATCAGCACTGTGTGGGTCATTTCTCCACCAACTCAGCCAGGCAGAGACAGATGAGCCCTGGCTGGTGGTGTATATTTTTGCACTGTTCAAGTAAAGATTGAGGTTAGGGATTAGGTTAATTTAGACTGTGGTTTCATGCTTTATATTAATAAATGATAATGTTAACCCAGCTGATTGTTGTGACCACTAGCCGCTGGGGTTTGTTTCTCTATGGCACGGTGTCACGATCAAGCCTCACCTCTAACTTGACTAGTGGCAAAAAATTGAAAGAGTGATGGTATAACAATATATATATATATATATATATATATATATATATATATATATATATATATATATATATATATATATATATATATATATATATATATATATATATATATATATATATATGTGTGTGTGTGTGTGTGTGTGTGTGTGTGTGTGTGTGTGTGTAAAGGCCTGGCCTGTATGATATAAATCCCTTGCCAGCCTAATCAGGATCTTATAAAAGGAAAGTCAAGAACCATGGGTTTCCAAGGGGTAATAAACAACCGTTAGAGATTGACATCTCTTTACTACGAAAATAATCACAATAATTTAACTCTGACACCACTCACACAAATATTAAATAAACAGCGCTGGAGTCAAACAATTACTTAAAACAAAACAATACAACAAAATACAGGTGCTTCCTACGGCTGAAGATGAAATTTTTTTCTAGCCAGCACGGCGGAATGTTCTGGTAACGAGGTGATCCACTCTCAGGGGAAGGTCCAGGGCAGCTTCCCCCTTGGCGCAGGCGTTGGTGGGCGATGCCTTGCCACACAGGAGAGACACCAGGGCACAGACGGTGGATAGGGCATGGAGGAAGTGGCGATGACGTGGCAGCTGCGGTAGTAGCTGGAGTAGGTGTCCGGAGACTGACAGCCGAATAGTGAAGGACTGAGGAATCAGCCCACAAGCCCCAAGAGTCTCAGATGAGTACACAACCAGAGTTGGAATCGAACAACTGGGTGAGGTAACAGCTGTGGTGCTGGCTGAGTGTCTGCTGTGCGACGAGGTAGCAGCGACCTTCTCACCTCCGTGACGAAAACCATCCTGCTCCTTACAGCCCTTATAATTATATATATATATATATATATATATATATATATATATATATATATATATATATATATATATATATATATATATATATTTTTTAGTATTTCTTTTTATTTGAAACTTCTGGTCGGCCTTCATCATGTACATCATCCTAACCCTAAGAATGAGCAGCTTCATACAAAATGTAACCAAACCTAACCTAGCCTACTTTAAGTATAATTTGGCTATCTTATAATGTTAAACGGCGTCTTGTATTAAACAGATAAAATTTTTATATATTCGAACTAATTTTCATCAAGTTATAACAAAAAGTTATCTTTATTCGGCAGAAACGTCGATTGTTTCCTGAGGCCTAATCGTCGGGTATCTTCATTTATCATGACATATTGTACAATTACAATTATCTCTGAGATGCAAACAGGCTTAGTAAGATAGCATCCATTTATTTCATAATTACACTACATTAGTTTTTAATTATAACGGTTAAAACAGAGGCTAAGATAACTTTCCTTCGCTTCGGTATAGAATGAAGGTAAGAACTAACGAGATTTCGTATTTAGTTTCTATACGTTAAGATAAAATACACTTTTATTATGACTATATAAAGATCAGTTTCAGGAGCATCTTGTATTTTAATCTATTTAGGTAAAAAAGCTGTGATAAAAAAAAATTAATAATGGTCTTAACATTTTCTGTGTTTAGCGTCACAGAACTGGGACATTCAGTAAATCGGTACCTGAGGAATAATGAGATGTTCCAGTAATATCACTTATTGTTTACTAAGATTAAGAAGAATTAGAAATTTATAGAACCATAGAAATGATATTGATGATAATATTAATACTATTACTAATGATAATTTGAAAATAGTAATAATAAAATAAAACGATGCTGCTGGAAGACGCTGGAAGAACGAGCACTGTGTACAACTCTCAAGCCTATTATTTATTTTCTGGGTTGTAAACAATAAAACTCAGGATAAGTGAAAGCCTAAAGGACTCGTTAGATGTGGTAAAAATGCAGCTGTATAAAAGACGATGCGATAGGGATGGAGGTAAATATTATGTAATAATGTGCCGAGTAAAGACATTTAGGTGTGTGATAGGTTGGTATAAAAATGTTTTTGTTTTTTCCTGGGCCATAGTGTCCATCCTGGAAAAAGCTAAAAACATTGAGAGATAACGGGAATATGGAACTTTGATTGACCTGACAACAGCACATGATATAGGAATCACGAATGTGCTGTAGAATTTAGTGTGAATATAGAGTGAGAGAGGAAAGAGGTAATGAAAACTTTATACAAACAGAACTGGATATACTCGTCAGAGGTGGCAAAGACTTAAAGAGGTAGCAAAGGCTTAAGGGTTCGGCTCAAGACCAAAGTTTAAGGTATAGTGGAGGGTGTTGGGAGAAGATGCTTCTCAGTGTTCATAATGGTCAGTAAGGGAAGGCTGACGGAGGTCTGTATGAGATACGGATAAGGGATGCAGGAAGTATAGAGGTATAAAGGTGTAGGAGAGTATGCCAATTATGTCACTAAAGACGGGCACAAACCCCTTTAACGTTACATTTTAGTCCAAGTCACAGTCCGCTTCGATCTTGTTGTGATACATCTGAATATCAAGGTTGATGATTATAATCACCGGTCTTTGATCGAGTTACCGAGCTAACAAAGTCTTCCACAAACACCTCGAGACTCCCACAAGGACGCCCACACCTGTGTCCTCCTGCACGAGTGCATTGGGGATTAATACAAGTAACATTAATATGACTAAAGGGAAGATATATATTTTTTTTAGTTATGTACAGTAATAATA